GTGTGTGTGTGTGTGTGTGTGTGTGTGTGTGTGTGTGCGTTTCCAGCCTGATATTACAGTAAATAAACTGTGACGAGGATAAAAAGCAGCCGTGGAAGCTTTATTGCAGGGTTGTGGTATCTGCAGCTGCACGGCGGACTGTTAAAACACCCAAACATAAAGATGTTAACCAGGGTCTTTAAACGTGCGCGCACACTCACGAAGTCTTGAGGGACTCCTTTATTGCATTGTGTCCAAACAGCCAGGCCTAAATCCAGCCTGTGGGAGTAAATCTACATTATTTACCTCACGTAAAGATACACACACACAGCAGGGGAGCGTGGAGACAGTTTGGCTGCTGGAGGGGTTCACCGTTAGGTTTACAAGCAACAGAAATACAGTTCCTTTTATGAGGCTGAAACTCCTCAGTATCTCATCATGTCTTATCATGAAGACTCATATATTTGTTCTTACAGCCCAGGTTCCAAACTGAGCAACATCAGGCTTAGCTTACATTTTGTGGCACGTTGTTGGTGTATTTTCTTTGTTTTCACATGATCTTCTTCATTTAAAAACAAAATGTATTGTGCTCATCCTGTTCATTCATACTCATCATAAATGTCGAGCGCCCACTGGGGGTCACGAGTCGAGTCAAGTCAAAATTCTTTATTTGTCTCCCTTGGGAGAAATTTTACTGTTGCACCCACGTAAATACAGTGATACAACAAAACCCAAGAACATTGAATATAAGAACAGGACAATTACAAATAATAGAAGTTACAGATTAAAAAAACCAATGTGCCAAAAACAATAAAAGTCAACATAACATGCATAAATTACTGATTACGAACGTCCTGATGCATCTCAGTAATCCAGGTAAAAAATCAAAAAGAAAAAAATTGTATAGGTCCTCTGGACGGGTTCTTCTTTAATGAAACATTTCGTCTCTCGAAAGAGAAGAGAGACGAAACGTTTCATTAAAGAAGAACCCGTCCAGAGGACCTATACAATTTTTTTCTTTTTTACAGATTACAAACTTTGAGTTTTTCATTAAAGGGATCCCTGATGAGTTGTAACATTAGACTTTATTTAATAAACATATATTTTAACTATAAAATAAAGACTATAAAAATACTGTAGGGTGTTCAGTTTATATCATTTTTAAACTAAAAGTTTAAAAATATAATAGACGGACGGGGCCATTTTATTTACACACAAAGCATTCTGGGTAAATGATGATGTGGATAGGTCCTTGGTGTGAGCGAGCTATATCCACCCTGAAGGTTAATCTTGGACAATATCTGATGATCGACTCTTTTAAATGAAACCAGAGAGCGTTGACAGAGAGGAGAAGGTAGAAATGACTCAGCCTGGAACTGAAAATATAGATGGAGGACAACAGAGCTGCTTCATGGAAGAAGAACCTCAGCTTAGCCTGTTAGCTTTAGCATTAGCCCCGACGCTAACACCATATATATGTATTAGCTCAGTGCTACACATTCTCCTCTCGTCACTGAGGTCCTCCATCCACATGACAGAGAGGGGAACGCAAAAATGACTCAGCCTGAAACTGAAAATATGAATGGAGGACCTCAGTTTAGCTTGTTTGTCGTGCTAGCACTGAGCTAATATAAGGCAATATAGCGTGAGGGCTAGTACAAAGGCTAACAGGCTAAGCTGAGGTTCTTCTTCCATGAAGCAGCTCTGTTGTCCTCCATCCATATTTTCAGTTACAGGCTGAGTCATTTCTACCTTCTCCTCTCTGTCAACGCTCTCTGGTTTCATTTAAAAGAGTCGATCATCAGATATTGTCCAAGATTAACCTTCAGGATGGATATAGCTCGCCCACACCGAGGACCTATCCACGTCATCATTTACCCAGAATGCTTTGTGTGTAAATAAAATGGCTCCGTCCGTGTTAAAATATATTTTTAAAACTTTACAAAACTAAACAGCCTACAGTATTTTTACAGTCTTTATTTTACAGTTAAAATAAATGTTTATCAAATAAAGTCTAATGTTACAACTAATCAGGGGTCCCTTTAATAACCTTGATAGATACTGTAGAGACACTGAGATGAGGTTTTTAGAATGACCTCATAGAATCAAATTTAATTTCACAAATATCTCCAAATATTATAGTTTCTCTGTAGTTGATACAAAAAAACCAATATAAAGACATTAGTAATATATTACAAGTTAAATCTGTTTCAGTTTATTGTTCATCATTATTTGCAGTTGTTTTGTGTCAGAAGCTGGAAAGTTTGGAAACCGCTTGTTTAAAACATGTTAAAATGTTTGTTTACAGATCATACATAAACTGATTACAAAACTGAATCAGATCCAAGAAAATCTAGAACAGACAATAATTTAGACACAGTCGTCACATCAGTCCTTCAGCGAGGGTATATGAACAGAATGTCTCTTTCTTTCTTTTAATATTCTGTTTTGTTTTTATTTTTACCAATAAAGTACTGAATGTCTTCCTGAAGCAGTCATAAAGCACCGGAGGGTTTGTTTTACAAAGAAGGAAGTAGATCAATGGCTGTGATCAGGTTTCAATTTATGAAAAGTTCAACATTGATCAGAGGTCACTTACTGTAAAAGGGATGAAATAAATAAATTTATTTAGCGTTTAGTGGTTGACAGTTCAGCAGCTGTGATTTATTGAACCTTTACAAAAAAGTTACAAGATTTTGTCTTAAATTAAAATACTTACAGAATGCAAAAATGTTGACGAACATCTGTTTTAGATTATAGTTTACATTTCAACTGTGAAGGAGTTTTTAATAAAAAATTTAATAAAATGTTCTCAATTATATGTTAATATTGTTTTTGCTAATTATGAAGTCCTCAAACTATAAAAAATAAATAATTTATGACTCATTTCATCTCCTTCAGGCTGCTTGTTAGATGGACGATCATATAACAGCTCTGTGTCCTGGACCACGTCCACCAAACCCTGCATCACCAGACGCTGTCAGGTGTGTATCTGAAACTGAGCTAACCTGGCTCTCAGCGCACGAGAAGTGAAATTATTGGGGGTGTTTTTAAACCTAAATGTGGAAAACACTAACCTCTAGATACGTTTTGTCATAAAACTAGCGGTGGCAACAATGTAGCTTCTGATCAGTAACTGTGTGAAGTGTTTTGGAGTGTGTAGGGACTTGATAAAGTTCAGATCATTTATCACTTACTGTTTATTATTTACATTAAAGGGCAGCGGACACAGAAGAAGATGTAATAATAATTGAAAGATAATTCAAGTTTTGTGCAAAAAGATCACTGATATAAGAAGACAATTGAAAAGAGTTCTTACTTTGCTTTATGTTGTGACAGGAAGGTGTGATCACTGAGGCAGAGGTGCAGTGTGTCATCCACTGCAAGAACCCAAAGATTCACCCTAAAAAGTGCTGTCCCACCTGTCCAGGTGAGTACACGTTTCAAAGATGTCTTCAAACACCAAAAGAAATATTAGAAGCTTTTAATGTTTGCAACAGTTTTTAGATCTCAAAGGTAAAAGTTGTGATTCATATCTATTGATTATTTAATTTTAGCCTTAATTTTGTTATCAGGTGTAATTGATGAATTATTTTCAGCTGTAATGTGTCTTTTATCATTTTATGACTGATAAAAACAACTGAAGATGAAGATGTTTAAACATTGGGAAAATCCCTTGAAAACAATTAAAAGAACAAAAAAACTAAATTATTAGTAATTTAGCAGAGCATGTTTAAAAAAAAGGTTTTTATTCTGTATAAAACAAAGTGTCCAAATGTTTAGAACAAAATACTTTAAATATCTGTGAGTTCATTCAACCATATGTTTACACAAAAGGCTGTATGTGCATTTAGACAGCAAAGGTTTAATATGAAAAGTGACACGTTATATTTACAAGTCATGTTTATCGCTGCAGGTTGTATATTTGAGGGTCACCTGTATAAAGAAAAGGAGGAGTTCAGTCCGGAAGGCAAGCCCTGCATCAAGTGCACGTGCACCGTGAGTACACAGACCACGTCCGTCCTCACCTCTGAGCAGGAAACAGGGGCGCCAGCAGGGGGGTAGGGCCAGGGGGGGCCATGCCCCCCCCGGCCCAGTCTCCTGAGAGTCACAAATCTTTAGTTGGAACAACATCCTCTCCTGTTTTTCTCCAATGTCACTCCCTCCCCCGCCCTCCCCCTTAGATAAACAAACCTAACAGGTACGTCCATAAACACGGTGACGCATTTATGTCTTGACACCTTTTTAGGACCGATAGGCTTCAAAGTTATCCTTGGCTGGTTTTATTCTGATACTTAAACCTAATGAATTAAATATTTATGTTTATTATTATTATTATTATTATTATTATTATTATTATTATTTTACACATTACCAAAATAAGTGATTTGATGAATTACAGCAAAAATATTTTACGAAACTAACAGTTGGGGTGTAATATCAGAGAGGCTTAATATATAAAAAAAAGTGTTCAACTAGGTAGGAAACATTAAATTAATTAAACAAAAAATGACATATACCAGAAAAACAGGAGAAGCAACATGACTATAATATACATTAATTTTTATCCTATTGCAGATACTAATAATTGATGATAACTTCTTTATTTCATTATTATTATTTTTTTGTTCCAGGGAGGCCGGACGCTCTGCGTGAAGGAGGTGTGTCCTGTGCTGTCATGCCCCGCCCACCTTACCCACACCCCACCTGGACAGTGCTGCCCCAGATGTGTCGGTATGGACCAGTACCAGCAAACCGAGCCTTGTGTTGAAAAAAACAGAAATGTATTTTCAGTGTCTAAATCTTATAGTTTCCTGTTGCTTTTGATGAAAAATGATGCAATTTGCAAAATCTCAACAATACGAACAACTAAACATACATAAAATCACAGCTTTTGAAGTAACCTAGTTTTTGTTTCTGTCATTTATTTATTTATTTATTTATTTATTTATTTATTTGTGTGGTTGTTTTTCTCCTCCAGGTCAGAGGAAGGTCTTTGACCTCTCTTTAGGAAGTTGTCTCTTCCACAGCGACGTCTATGAAAACGGCACTTCCTTCAGACTCAACAACTGTACCACCTGCACCTGCAAGGTCATTTCCTGGACATGAAATTCTTTGTGTTAGGGGGCAAAAAAATCCAGTTATAATTTCTGTCTGTTAAATATTCATCATAAAGCAGGAATGATTTTAAATGTGATTACTCTTTGTGTAATTAAATCTCATTTATGATCTGCATGTTTTACTTCCTTTTTTAGGATTCGACGGTGGTGTGTAAGAAGAGGTGCTCGCGGCCAGGCAGCTGTCAGGGCTCTCAGTGCTGCGAGGAGTGTCTGTCGTACGTGGAGGTGGAGGACGTGATGTACTGCAGAGTCCGGAACAAGATCTACAGGGTGAGGATGGATGGATGGATGGATGGATGGATGGATGGATGGATGGATGGATGGATGGATGGATGGATGGATGATTATATAAAGAATAGCAAGTTGTTAAATGTGATCTAAACAAATGACAAGTATATCAATGAAAGAATTAAATGTAGTGTAAAGCAGTGTTTCCCAAAGTGGGGTCCCGAAACATCAAGGTGGGGTCCTGAAAAGATTTTCTGAATTAATTAGATTTTTGCCTTAGTTGTTACAAAGGAGTGAGGTTAGTATATTTAAAATGGATAAATGTAGTATAAAAATATTGTTACTATGCCCATGTTTAGTTGACCTGATACAAATCATCATCCAAAAATAGCTGAGGGTACAGGTCTCTGCTACTGTTATTTTGTGGGTCAAAAACTGAAAAGTTTGGGAACCACTGCACTTTGGTTCCCAAAGTTTGGCTTGGGACCCAATTATGGGTCATGAAGCACCTTGGATAAACTCCAGAAATCAATTTAAAGGGTAATAAAATAATTGCTGGTGTAATATTTTCCCTATAACTATTACAAAAACACACAAAAGAAAGTTTAAATAAGTTTTTATATTTGTGTACAAGCTGTTTAGATTGTCAAAAAAAAACTGTGTTTTTAGGGTTATTAACGAAGTTCGTGTACTCAGACCAGTAATATTTGGGGTCACAAGTTTTRGCCATGGATATTTTGTGGGTCAGAATATAATAAGTTTGGGAACCACTGGTGTAAAGAACAGACAAATGGAGATTTTCAGCTCAGAAAACCAAAAATGATTCATTGCTTATATCTGCATCAGTGCACAGATTGCTGTTTTTGTAAAAACAAATGGGCTGACTCAAAGATGCGTGGAAAAATATCAGTAAATGTAAAAAGTGGATAAAGTGGTTTACAGGGAAATAAAAAAGAACATCTGAATAGATTAAAGAAAATGTAGAATATGTGTGCACTCATGTTGTCATCCTGTGTTTTTATTTGTGTAGGAAGGGGACATGTGGTCGTCTGTTAACTGTACTCTCTGTGCGTGCGTTAAAGGCAACGTCGAGTGTCGGCCCAAACAGTGTGTACCGATCACCAGCTGCCCCTCGGTGAGTGAAAACACATCTTCTTCTTCTTCTTGTCTTCCCATCAGGATTTAATGTTTAGTTCATCTGACTCAACTGTTTTACCATTTTTTCTGTCCACCCTGTCTGACCCTTTAAGATTTTAAACTGTTTTGATGTACATACAAAAATATGAAAATGTTGGTTCACTCCGGTTGAACTATTTCCAAAAAAATCTTAACAAAATCAGCTTTACTGTATCATAATGCACTCCTCTTCTAATCCAAACACAATCTTTTTCCTGTTTTTGTCTTTATGATCTCACATAAATATGGAGTTTTCTATAAAAATAGTTATCTTTTGCAAACTCTTGTCCTGCAGTTTATTTTTGGTTAATATACAAAGTACGCATCAAAACGTTTTCACTCACTGTGTCTTTCACTGCTGTAGGACTTAAAGTTGTCCTTTAATTCTTTCCAGAATGCAGAGTACAACGCCCAAGCTTTCATATTTTAGCTCAAAATCTTCTCAACAAAACTGAAATGAAGACTTAATTTTGTCATATCTCCTAAATAAAACACTGATGAAAAACATAAAAATACATTATGTTGAGTCGTCTGCTGCTCACAGAATAAAAAAAAAAGTTACTTTTCAGTTTAAATTTTTTTTGTCTGCCTCACATTAACTTGGCAGCCAGGGAGTGATAGTCACAGTTGTGTAGTTACCATGATGATCCTGGCAGCAGCTTTAACTAAACTAGTTTTTACAGATTTTGCATAATTGTTGCATTAGGTATTCTTTAATATTTCTCCAGAAATCGCGTTGTTTCATATCACTGCACGAAGAAAAGAGATAAAATTTCCATACAAATTTAGATAAAGAGGTCTAGTTCTTTATAATATTTCATAATAGTTTTTCATTGTGTATTTTTAGCTCAGGCCCACTTTAGATGCCTGTCAAAACCTGAAGCCTGTGTGAGCTGAAAAACTCTGGAAACTGCTGTCAGGAAAAAGCTTTGAGTTGCGTTCACCTGTCGCAGCGGTTGTTCCGAAGTCATTTGTCGGTTGGTGGGAGCAGATTCCTCGCATTCCGCTGGCCGGTGCCGGTCACGCTGTCAGTGATAGTCCAAGTTCACACGCTTCCAGTGGTTACGACAAGCTCTCACCTGCTGTTAGGGGTCACCATGGAGAACTGTAGAGTAACGCTGGTGGTCTAAACTGTTTCGTTATTGACCTCTAGAACACATCAAATTTTAGGATTAAACAAAACGTTTCTCTGAGAACTTATTTGTTTCACAGCCCTAAAACTTACCAAGTAGAGTTAAAAAGGAACAATTGCAGTAAAGGATAGTGTTTCTTTTTAACCAAAATTATTGTCTTTAACACAAATTTAGACAGAAAATAGTTCTGCAGCTGGTTGCTTATTGGTGGAGTTTCTGAGTTTGAAGGCAATCTTCACCAGTGTTGTATAAAGTACCACAAAGTCATACTTGAGTAAAAGTACAAGTATCTTACCTAAAAATTACTTCAGTAAAAGTTAAAGTCTCCTTTGGGAATATTGAGTAAAAGTCCTGAAGTATCTGATATTTTTTTGTACTTAAGTATTAAAAGAAAAAGTATTGATTTAAAATGAGCAGTTAGATTTTCTGTAATGACATTTATTAGGTGACCTCCTTCCAAAAATGCAGAAATGACTATATTGTATTAAAATTATTAAT